CTTTTCTTTTTAGGAGCACTTGTGCTCCTAACTTAAAAAAAGTAGGAGCACGTTCAAAATTTTAGGAGCACCTTAATCAATAATCCAAAATTTTATCAAAAAGTAGCCTTCCCATTACAAGGTGATATTTGACTCCTCTAACTTTTTTAAAAGTAGGCCTATGTCATCTTTTGTCAAATTCTTAAATGTATATTTTATAAGCTTTTAAAATGGCTGGCACTCATCTTAGCTCATTGCGATCTCACATTTATAATCAACGAAGCGCTCTACACTGCGCAATGAATCTCTCACTTTGCTTATGAAAGGATTTGTGAGATATGTCTGTGATACATTACTTAACGCTGCAAAAACACGTAGAAACCTTTGAAGCTCCCCTGAGCGCAATCACAAGTATGATGATGATCGGGTCAGTCGCACTGGTGCTCCAAAAAAAAATGTCATAGTCGCACGCAGTAGTTTTCAGTCGCAAATGCAACTGAAATGGTCGCACTGTAGAGCCCTGCATCTGAACTTTTCTAAAGACAGTAAGTTCCCCTCAGACATGGATTCATAAACTACCCCTAAATGAATCGCGATTTGTTGAGCATCTCAACCGATTTGAATCATCACATATTTGAATCGATTTTCAACCAGCTCACGGTTAATCGTTACAGCCCTAGATATTATCGGTACCGTGAGGCATGTATCGTGTATTGTCGTATTGTGAGGTACCTTGTGATTCCCACCCCTACATGTTAGGGCAAGAGATTCATCAATGCCAGGCATGAAAAAGCTTGAAGCAACAGAGAGCCACCGCTTCCAGCCAGCCTGTGCCGACAATAGACCGGATAAAGAGTACACTGGTTCCTGCAAGAACTGACTAGAGCCCCTGTTCAGAACACAAACCCAACAAAAGGCTATTCTAAAACAGGTCAATGCACCCTTCCAGACGTGCTCTGAGCTACTAGCATGAATAGAAACTGTTAAAACGGCACACACTCCAAGAGCTGCGGACTGTGTTCTATCTCACTGAGCTGCCAATCAGCTCTGGGCTTTCATTTCATCAGACACACACACATACGCAGCAGCACAAGGCATGCAGGAATGAGAGGAATGTTTCTGGAATGGTACAGGAATGAGCTGGTGTCTTTTTTCTGCAAGGTTTCTTTAGAGTCATCGGAAGAAATAGCCGTCATAATTCAGCAGCACTGATCATTTTGAACAACTTCATTTTATGAGTACCTGCTACCAATTATATACCAGAAACTAAAAATATAAAAAGCATATTGGTGGACATTTTCTGTGTTCTTACCACTTCTTGGGCATGAGGACTTGCTAAGATTACTTTTAACTGACTGCCAAAGCTAAACCAACTGGAGTTTTGGTAATACTTTAATAATACATTTAAGTAATAATACTAACAAACATTAATAATGATGACTGTTAAGTCAAGCATCACTATTACTATTGCTCACACTTGAACAAACCCTTTACCCTAAAGATGTGTTCACAAAAAACACATGTGGTCCATTGTTAACAGTGTAGCGATGAAGAGCCTATAATGAGGGAGATCAGATGTAGGAACTTCTTACCCTGGCTTTACTGTCCTGGGCAGACATGTATCCCACACACATGCTCTCTGTTGTATGGCTCCATAGAAACTCCACTGTGAATAAAAGAGAGACACAATGACTGTGAAATACAGCTATTAAAAAAGTCCTTAGAATATTACACTTTCTATAAACCTGGAAGAGAATTAGAACACCTACAGGAATATCAAATAGATTTTTTTAAAATAGCTTTTTTTTATTAATTAATGAAATACTATATTTGTATAATTTAAAGAAAGTGAGAGATTTTGTGCTCTGCATTTGCTATAAACTCAGCAATACAATTAGTTACTTGTTATACACTCAACAAGTAACCACAATGCTTATTTTACTCATGTCTGTAAAACCACTATTCTAAAAATCTATTCGAAATTCCAAAGGGAACCCATGGCGAAATAGCCTTCTGAGTTGGCCTAAAAATTGAAGTCAAGATTGAACAGTTGATCAACACATCAGACAAAGACATATTGAAAAGTACATTTCATATCGGTCTCAAATGTTTTCTTCCATTGAGTGTCGGCCATAATCATAACAATGCCTTTATTCTCTGAGGCCAGACCACACTTTCAGACCTGTTTATTCTGTTATTTGTGAATGCAGGGAGCTGCCATGTTTATCCCTGAATGTTTAAACAAAGACGCCTGGAAAAATAGTCAGAATCTTTAGACAAGAATGTGAGGGAGGCATCAGAAAGAAACAATGTGGGGGGAATGGCTTTCAGGGAATCTTCAGTGATGTTCAGATGTTCCTCAAATCCTCCAACTGCATTTTTGTCCTTTAAATACTCTATCTATTTATCTATCTATCTATCTACAGGTGCATCTCAATAAATTAGAATGTCGTGGAAAAGTTCATTTATTTCAGTAATTCAACTCAAATTGTGAAACTCGTGTATTAAATAAATTCAATGCACACAGACTGAAGTAGATTAAGTCTTTGGTTCTTTTAATTGTGATGATTTTGGCTCACATTTAACAAAAACCCACCAATTCACTATCTCAACAAATTAGAATATGGTGACATGGCAATCAAAAATGGTCTCTCAGTTTGGTTCACTAGGCTACACAATCTTCAAAATGATTGCTGATCTGACAGTTGTCCAGAAGACAAT